TGCGTTTTTCTACCTTCATTTTTTGTCTTTTTGACCGGTTTCTTGGTTTTGTATTTCTAGTACTAGGTTCTGTTTTAGGTTGTTCCAGCAAGTGCTGTGTTTTAAGTTTACCTTCCAATGAATATTTAGTTTTTTCCCAGGTACCTTCTCCCTGTTTCTCCCTCCTCGCTCCCCCCATCACAAACCGTGGCCCCGTGTAACTCACTTGCTGTATTCCATGACGGAGCCGAAGTCGTAGGGGGTCTGCAGGTTGTTTGTCTTCTTTTTCTTGAAGTTGTGTTCGCGCCCTGTAAGGGAACCAGAGGCAGCTATTAGCGTCTGGGGTCTGGAGGTCAGAGCTCCTGCCGGGGGGGGGTCAGAGTGTGTCTGTGGCTGACCTGGCTGGATGTTGTCCCAGAGGATGCGGACGTAGCGGTCCCGGTCGGAGCGGACCTGCTCGTGGTTGAAGCCCAGCGCGTGCAGCAGCTCGTGCTGGACGGTGGACTGGTGCAGGCAGCCGTTCCTCCTCAGGGACAGCTTCTGCGCTCCGTTCAGACGGCCCAGGTAGGACCAGCACCTGAAAACGCACACGGAGCACTTCTGGTTTAAGGGGGGGCTCTTCTGGGGATCATTTCGCTTCTTCCTCATGTTAGAATCTGGCTAAAATGACTCATTTTAGCTTAGTATGCTATCACATAATCGATATAAATTAATGATTGACTTATTCCTTTTAGAACTTTACGTTTTCTTGTAGTCTAAGATCAGACATTAAATCGACACCATAGAAACGTTGTCCTCGTTAGAACTTGGCTATAATTACTCACTTTAGCATTGTATGCTATCACATGATCTATGTAAATTACTGATTGTCTTATTCCTTTTAGAACCAATTTTTTGTGTTAAAGCCTTTTTTTCTTTCTTTTTCTCTCTCTGTTGCATTAGATCCACCTTTAGGTCAACACACACACACACACACCATTTGTTAGCACATTCCCGTCATCTGCATGAATTAGGACCTGGCCTGTTCGTGCCCAGAGGTAACTGGCCAATAGGACTTGGTTGTGTCCAGTCCTCCTTTGAGGAGGCGGATGGAGCCCAGGAGATAATGCCCCTTAACTGTGTCCAATAAACGTCAATGTTTTTACTCTTGATCTACTCTGGTTTATTCTCGGGTCGGTAGGGTTTGAGATGTCCTGTGGACAGCTTCTCTCACCCTGATCCAGAGAAGATGCTGATGTAATGTTTGTGTTCTGGCAGGCGGGGGACGAAGCGGACGCAGGTGGAGTTGTGGAAGCTCTCCAGGCCTTTGACGATCACGTCTCGCTGCTGGCAACCTACGGAGAAGTCAAACAGCCGATTATAGCCCGGAGCCGGCGGGGTGTGGTCCGGTGTGCGTGGGCCAGGGCTGACTGTATTGGGAGGAGATGGTGTAGGGCACGTAGACGTAGTCTCCGGTTTTGGGCCACTTGCAGCCCCTGGCCGTGCACGGGTCAGCGTTCCTGGTCAGAGCGTCCGGTATGGCGATGTCTCCCTCCAGCCGGGGGGTCTCTGCCACACAGAAACCACAGAGAGAGAGAGCCCCTGTGAGCGCCACAGAGGGAAACCTTTGGGGTTTTTGGAGTTAGTGTCCTACCCGAGTCGTCTTCAGGCCCGTCCAGACCTGCAGACTGGTCTAAAGAAAGAGAGAGAACCCCTTTAGGTTTGAATACCGCTGTGAGGTGTGGGTATCCCTCACTATTCAACTCACCAACTTGGTCTTCATCAGCAGTCCGTGCACAAAAAAAAGAGCATTTTTAGTGTTTAGTAAAGAGAAGAAGACTATCTAAAAGTCTAACCAGTATAGGAACGCTTTAAAACCTGTTTCTTACCTAACTGGATCTTGGGTTCTAGGAGCATGTCAGCAATTTCTGGGAATTCGTCTGAGGAAAGAAGGGACTTAAATGTAGATTTAAGAAGACCCAGAGGGAAGTTTACAGTGCCGGCTGCAGGTTTCCCGGCTCCTCAGCTCTCCGGTTAAACTCACCGCTCTGCTCCTCACTGGAGGCCGGCGCAGCCTGCAAACACAACCCGAAACATCAAAAAGAATCCATGATTAAACAAGGTCTGCCTGAAAGTCTTTGTCTTCTGAATCCTGAATCTAATTAGAAATAGAAAATGAAACATTTCCTAAATCGATCAGAGAATAAATGCGTTTGTTTTTTGTTTTTTTTACTCAGAAACCCCCAGACAGCACATTGTTTCTATCCTGATAACAGCGTTTAGTCTCACTGACCACAGAGACGTCCATCACCGACAGGATGAGGATGAAGAGGAGAACCGGAGTCATGGTGGAGGATGGGGGTCCTGAGTCGGCATGCCTCTGAGGCTCAGATCCTCGCCTTATAAGCAGCACCGGCTGTGGTTTGGCTCTTGTGTCACCCCAAACCTTTTTTTTTTCTGATTGGCTCATTTAAAAAAAACAAAGTGGAAGTAACTTAACACAAAGGTGAGCTGCATGGGCGTTTTAAAGGAAGTCCAAAGTCACTTCCCTTTTCCAAAGCAGCTGCCTGGTATTTTAGATGGTTTTTCTTCAGAAATTGGCTTTTTTTTTAACTCATTTTTTGCTTAGAGGAAATATTTTTTTTGTCTCGGTTTTATATTTGTTAGTTTGAAATCGTTTGAAACTCAAACAAAGACTGACTTTAACTCAGAGGGGGCAATTTAAAGACTTCAATTAAGCTGAGTTTCATTGGTTTGGATCCCTGTGGCGCCACATGGATCAGATCTGATGCACACGGCTTCTGAGACCATTTCCATCATTTAATGATAAAAGCTTTTCTCAAAACCCTGTTTTACACTATCAGATCTACCTGATGACAGCAGGCAGGAGACTGTAGGAAAGAATGATGACTTATCTCACGGTAATAAAGGAATGTATTAAATCTGTTCATTTCAAACATATATATATAAAAAAAATCACATTTGGAAAACAACACACATTGTTCGAAAAAAAAATGTGAAAAATGTTTAATTTCCCACCCCTTTTTAACCACTCTTCAGTTTGTAACTTCACAGATATCACAATTACATAATACACATTTATAAATATATACCATATATACACTTCCTAAATATCCATTTAAATAAATAATTATAAATTAGATATATACTAAATACACAACCTTGTAAATATTAATTTTATAAAAACCATCCCCATAAATAAATACAACCTTATTCCGACTTCCTCTTCTCTCCTCTTCTCTAGATTGTTTAAACATATTATGATGAACATTAGAGAATTATGTCTGTTTATATAGATTTTTTCAGACTTTGTTAATGGGCCAAACAAAGACTTCATACAAAAAAAAAACACAGCACAGGGCTACTTCACATTAGAAAAAAATGTATTTCACTCTTTTTTATGAGAGAAAGAAGAGAAGACTGTGTCCATTCAGAGAACTCTCACTTCATCTGGAAGGAGAGTGTCATAAAATCAAGTTATCCGGGAATTAAAACTTTATTTTTGCTGGTCTGACAAAGACTCAAAACTCGTTTTGAGTCGTAATGACTCCACCAACCTTCCTTTCTTTGCTTTTTGCAAATAACCAGGCATGCACAACTTCTTTTTTTAGATGTTTCTTTTTAGTCTGATATGATTATGAAGTACTGAGGACAAATAGACACTTTCCTTCTGTTTCACATTGAGATTTTTAGATGTTTAGTGGTAGTCGGGGACTAAATCGGGACCTTTTTGCTTAAACCTGCCTCAGAGGGTTTGAAATATAGACATATCAGCATAAATGGCGTTTTTATCTCCTCTTTGGGTATCACTGGGATTTATAAATTAAATGACATCTGAAAATGATCTTTCTGGTTCTTCTTCCTCTTCTTCACCAACATAGAAGCAAAAAGCATTTTCCTCTGAGGGAGTTATCAGTCAAATGATCCGTCTCTCTCCACAAAGCAAACAACCACAGACGGGCTTCCTCTTTCAGGTGCACTTTTCCGAGGAAGAACACATGAAATTATGTGGTGAGACATTGTTTGGCAAACTTATGAAGCAACCAGATTTTATAAAAAAAAATGTGCCCTCTCTCAGTTACGTAAAAAGATAAAAATCTCTAAAAATACTGAACTAACACCCTCAAATGAAGAGTTTTTAAGTGTGCCTCAGGCTGAGCTCTTTGGAGAGTTGCATGCTAACAGTTATTATGTCTAAATCTGTTAGGACCAAAGAAAAAAAGGGCTCGAAAGGGAAATAGACTCAAGCAATTTTGGTCATTATGGAAAATTGGATAGATATCAGCTCTCTGTTTGAATTCTTACATAATATAGTTTTATGTTTGAGTGTGAATTTTCTTCTTGAGAACTGAAAATGGCTCAATTGCAGAGCTGAAAGAGAAAAATATGATTCATAAACAGTAAATGTTGTCTCTAATTCAGTGTTCTGTGTCCAGGTAAGCTGTTATAAACTACCCCAAACGATGATGCTTTGGGCTTATTTTGGTAAACAATTACAAAGAAAATACTTTCGGATGATTAATCAGATGAAATTATGATTTGTTTTTGTTTTCTAAACGCACATTTCCACCAAAAGGTGGCATCAGTGCTCCATAACTATCCTTTAAAATCCAGCAGACCAGGGCTTGCATTATAATTCTCTCACCTGATGTTTAAAAAACACTTTTAATTAATGATGTGAGAATCTATTGGAGGAAATGCTGCAGCTCTTGGTCATCAGTGAGTTTTCTAATAAGAGCAGAAACAACCAGCCCAGCTCTCTCAGAGGAGTTAGAGGACACATAGACGTAGTTCTGCAGAATAATTGGCATCCCACATTCTTTTCTTCAGGTTAGCATTCAGTCTGAATCCTCCAAAATTAACCCAAAGTTTAACTAAGAGGGTCTATAAAAGGTAATAACTGGAAAAAGATAAATTAAACTGGAAAAAGACAAAATACTCAACGGTAGCCAGACAGAAAAAAAAACTAAACGCTATGTGGGTAAAGCTGAGGAAGAGGAGCAGAGAGGATGATGGCTCAGGGTTAGAGATCAACAACAAAAACACTGGGGAAAAAATACAGAAAACCAAGAGGAGGGTCGACAAAATCCAGAATTCGTGACATTCAGACGGCCGAAACTTTTGGTTTCTCTGATTTTCTGCTTTTTTCCTCTAAAACAGGACCAAAAGCAGGACCAAAAAAAGGAATTGGTTGAAGAAGCAACTTTTTATTATGTTAAAAAAGCACCAACAGGCTGAATTTGATGTATTTTATTGGAGAATGTCTAACATCCAGGGAGAAGCTGCAATAAAATAGCAGCTTTTTGTGTTTTAACAAACCCAAAAACACCTTTTTGAACCTCTATAAGATTAAAAAGGACCTCAAACCAAAGATTCAAGCAGAAGAGGCTCGGTTCCAAAGCGATGAGGTCGTCGTTTTTCTGCACATTTCAGGAACAAATTTGACCTTCTTTTTTTTTTTCACAGCTTTTGTCAAAAGAAAGTTCATTGTTTCCTACAGGCCTCTAACATGTGCTCTTAGGGACATTCATACAGATCAAAACTGTTTGCTTTGAAGGTTTGCCTCAGATAATCTGGGACACTGCAGTGGATATTCTATTTTTATATCTTTATATTTCTATATTCTGTTTTTTAAAGCCTGTATGTGACCACCCATTCGTATTCCATAGCTGAGTCTATCCCAGCTGCCATTAAACACATATCATGGAGGAAAAACAGAAATCCCTTTTTACAAACATCAGTGAGAGGAAAAGGGCAGTTCAGCTGAAATAAGCTGCATGTAATGGATGCATGTGCAGAATAACATACATGAAATTCTGTCAAATCTGAAGCTGCCCCTGTGCTTACCTGTTTGGTCTCATTAATTGCTACCTTAAAAAATGAAAACGGGCCGAGAACGTTAGCATGAGAAGCTAAAACGAGACGAGGAAACTCCAGGAGGAAAGAACTTTGAACCTGTCAGCCCCATTCTTTAGTTGGAAACCTCAGGATAAACCAGAGTAGATCAAGAGTAAAAAAGTGACATTTATTGGACACAGTTAAGTGTATCAGTGGGCTCTGACAGACTAAAACCTCTCTCTGGGTCTCAGTGGGTTAGAGCCCTGAGATCTGGGTGATGGGCATTATCTCCTGGGCTCCATCCGCCTCCTCAAAGGAGGACTGGACACAACCAAGTCCTATTGGCCAGTTACCTCTGGGCAGGAACAGGCCAGGTCCTAATTCATGCAGATGACAGGAATGTGCTAACAAATGGTGTGTGTGTGTGTGTGTTGACCTAAAGGTGGATCTAATGCAACAGAGAGAGAAAAAGAGAGAGGCTTTAACACAAAATAAGGAATAAGACAATCAGTAATTTACATAGACCATGTGATAGCATACTATGCTAACGTGTGTAATTATAGCCAAATTCTAACAAACCCTACGATTTGGTGCAGTTAAGCTGGAACTACAAGCAGCAAATGGATACATCCCAGCTTAATGATCCTGCTGCTGGACCCTTGTAGTTTGTCCATTCCCCCCCCCTGGGAGCCATTTTGGTTCCTGTCAGGACCTCTAAAGGCCCCAGGCTCCAGTTACGAGGCGGGAAAGATGTTGCCATCCCGTCCTTATTGTCAGCAGTGTGGCTGAGACACAATCAAACACGAGGAAAAAAATAGCACGAAGCACAAAACAGACCGAGAACAAAGAAAAAAAAAACAGGAGACGCCACTCCAGAGACGAGAACAAACCGAGCCGTAGAACAAACAGCAGGAGCCGCGCCCGGGGATCCAAAACACACGCAAACCAGAGGAAAATCCAAAAAAAGGAAGAAAATCTGAACAGACGTTAAAACAAACCACAATCACAGTGACCTGAAAAAGCATTTAAAAGCAAAAGAGAAGTAAAAAAAAAAGCCCAGAACTCCTCTTTCACAGCCCTCTGGGGGCCATATTGATTTTTTCAGCATGAAGGGGCTTTTCTCCTTTAAAAGTCTTGATGCATGTCAGGTTTTTTTTTTCTGTTTTTGTGTGTGTGTGTGGGGGGGTGAATGCTGTTCACCGAAGCGTCCCACCTGCCCCCCCGTCAGTCCCCAGCCCGGATCTGTGAGGTGGGAGGCGGGAATGTGTGGGAGTCAGAGCAAAAAACACCCCCCCCCCCCCCCCCCCACACACACACACACACACACAGGTGACCTTTCTGGGTGTGAAGGTATGATTCGAACAGTTGTGTATCCGTGTTTGTGTCAGTCGAGAGGAAGACAAAAAACATATCTCACACTCTCACACAGAAAAACACACACAGAAACACACACACACAGAAGTACACACAGGCTGTTTGTGAGTGGAGGAGTAAAGATGTGCGGCGGTATCATAGCAACAGCACGTTAAGAGGGG